TGCTGGGTAAAGTAATCTTGGTTGTAGGTCTTTACTTTTCATCACTATGAAAATTTCCTGCCAATCCCTTCTGGCCTGCAAAGTTTCCGTTGAGAAATCCAGCTAATAGTCTTATGGGAGGTCCTTTGTAGGTAACTAACTGCTTTTCTCATGCTGCTTTTAGGATTCTTTTCATCGTCTTTGACCTTCGGCATTTTAATTATGATGTGTCTTAGTTTGGGCTTCTTTGCATACATCTCGTTTGGGACTCTGTGCTTTCTGAGCTTTTATACCTATTACCTTTACCATGAACGTTTTCCATCATTATTTTATTCAAATAGATGTTCAAATCCTTGCTGTCTCTCTTCTCCTTCTGGTGTCCCTATAATGTGAATGTTGATACACTTGATATTCTTCCAGAGGCCCATTAAACTCTCCTCATTTTTAAAAATGTTTCCGTTCTGATTGGGTGCTTTCTGCTACCTTATATTCTAAATCACTGGTTTGATCCTCTGTTCATCTAATCTACTGTTGATTCTCTCTAATGTATTCTTCATTTTAGTTATTGTATTCTTTATTTCTGACTGGTTCTTTTTTATGTTGTCTATCTCCGTTTTTATGTTTCCTGTCTCTAGTGAAGTTCTCCCTGAGATCACTGAGCATCCTTATAACCAGTGTTTTGAACTTTATATCTAGTAGATTGCTTGTCTCCCATTTTGTTTAGTTCTTTTTCTGGAGCTTTGTTCTGTTCTTTCATTTGGGACATGTTTCTTTGTCTCCCCATTTTGACTGCCTCCTTGTGTTTGTTCCTATCATTAGATAGGACTGCGTTAGATAAGAACCCAGTGGTGCAGTCTCCCTGGTCACAAGAGCCAGGTGCTTCAGGTATGTTTCTTATATGGGCTGTGTGTGCTCTCCTGTTGTAGTTTACAAGACTTGATTGCTGTTTGCACATCAATGGGAATGACTGACCCTCAGGCTGATTGGTTATGAGGACTATCTGTGACTACAGTGGAGGAACTGTGGTGCAGGGGCTGACTGTTCAGATCAGGGTTCACTTTAGCGGGGCCCTGATGCCTTCCCCGTCTGCCCTTTGGTTGTGTCATTCTTGGAGGTGGCCAGGTGTTGCTCCAGCTTGGTCCGAAGCTGATCACCACATGTACCAGCCCTGGGTTCTCCTAGGATGAAACCCACTTCAGGCCAAGTTTAGCCGCAGCCTGTGCTCTGCCTGGGGCCACCAGGTATGAGCTACAAAGCAATACACTGATGATTTTCTTCGACACTGGACTTACAGGTGCCTTGAGTGGCCAATCTGCCTCTGAAGTGAGGCTGGCTGTCACTAGGGCTGGACTTAGGGCTGTTCAGTCAGAGGTACATGATACACCAAAATCAGATACTGCTAGTTTGGGTTTTGTGAACTTTTGAGAGATTTTAGGAATGTCTGCAGCATGAGCCAAGGCAGGCCATTTATACAGAAAAGCCACTGGAAATGGCTTGGATGTGCCTGAAAGTTGGGTGAGATGAGATCTCCAGGAATCACTAGGGTGGGGAACAAAAGGTGTTATCCAGTTTGATAGAGACTGAGATATTATCGTGTCTGCCTGTGTCTGCAGGTAGGGAGGGGGGAGAGCTCAACAAAGAAATAATGGCTCCCACCCAGGAGGAAGCTACACCTCCAGTTCTTGCCCTGTAACCAGACAATTCAGTTTCTCCCCAGCACCTTTTGAGCTGCTACCCCAGCCCTGGAGCTCACAGTGAGTGAGTCCATCAGCAAGTAAATTCGTGTGCAGTCCCTTTAAGAAGACCAGCCACAATCTCCACTGGTTTGCACAACCAGAAGTTATGGGGACTTCTCTCCCTGGCACTGGCCCTGGACTGGGGAGCCTGGTAAGGGGCTGGGACCCATCACTTTTCCAGGGGGTACCTCTGCAACCAAGATGTCCCTCCCAATTCTTAATTGTCACACATGGGTGTGGGACTAGCCCTTTCTATTTCTCTGCCTCTTCTACCAGTCTTGAGGTAGCTTCTTTTGTATGTTTATATTTGTAGGGCTTTGGTTCAGCTAGACTTGGAGAGTATAGTGTGAAAAGAGAGGCTGTGATTGAGACCTGAGGATCTCCTAACGTTAGTTGTCAGGTGGAGGAAAAGGGACCTTCAAACAATACTAAAAAGAAATAGCCAGAGAAGTAAGGGGATGGGAAACAAGAGTGTGTTGGTTCTGGGACTAAAAATAAGTCATTTAAAAAGATAGAAGTAGGCCACAATCTCTAGTACCACTGGGAATCCAAGTAAGATGAAGCCTGAAAAATAAGCACTGAATGTGTAGCATGATTGTCATTAAGGATCTTATCAAAAAGGGGTTCAATAGAACAATTGAGGTTGAATGCCTAATTGAATGCATTGAGAAGAAAGAAGTCAGGAAGTGATGATGAGTATATGTAGTTATTTAAAAAACATGACTCTGAAGGAGAGTAATGTGTAGGAGCTGAAGGGATTGTTGAAATGATGAGGTAAAGGATCCAATTAATAAAATCAAAGAAGAAGAGGCATAATGGAAAATATAATATGCCTAATAAGACTGGATCAGATGAAATCCAAAGCCTTGGTAGAACAATTGGCCTTAAGGAGAAATAGTTCCTCTCGTGTATTAGTGGATGTATCAGTGTACATATACACGTATTTATGTGTTTGCTGGTCAGAACATGAAGATGTCTCATTTAAGGGCTTCACTTCCTCAGCAACATAATTATCAATCATATGAGCGGAGAATAAGTTAGGAGATTTGACTAAAGGGGCAATGGTTTGAAATTATTAATAGAAGAACCAGTTGACAGAGTCCTTGAAAGGTTGCTGAGCAGTATATAGGGTTCATTTTGGGTTCGTGATCACAAATCTATACTTTGTTGAATTTACCTTGTTGGATCACCTGAAAAATTCTTAAGAAATTTGGAGGCAAGTATGGAGAATGTAGATAGATGTGTCCTTCCAGGCTGTGGATGAAATGAAAATATCACAGATTCAAGCAACTTAATAACTATGCAAAAAAAATACTGAAATTAAAAAGTATGGAATCTAAATTAGTTACTAAGGAAGCCAAGAAGAGAGAAAGCTGATGAACTGGAAAAAATAGGGTTTCTAGGAGATCAAAGAAGCATTGCAGGGTGCTTGAATTACTGATTATTCAGGTGGACCACATCTCTGCCTGGTGATGGCAAGATCTAGACTATAACTGTGTAAGTACAGGGATGTTGTGCGATGCCGGAGTAGGTCAGTGGAGAGGAAGTGGTAGCTAAGCCATCTCACCAATTCCTGCAGTGCCAACTCTCACTTTTTTAGTCAAACCTACGTATGTTGCTGACTAAAGAATCACAAACAGGCTTACTAATTTTATTGGTTTGCCTCAAGTTTATCATTATTTATTTAGTTTAGTCATTATATAAATGATGACCTTTTACAAACCAGATGTAGCTATGAGCCAGGGGACTGGATTTTAATTTTGCTTTTGTCAATGCACTGTTTTGCAATATGATCTCAGACAAGTCCTATTTTCCTCATCTGTAGAGTTAATTCATCGAAGAGGATCCTGTTGTAGGACCTTTCCAGGCTGTAATACTGTGATTCTTTTTAAGCTCTATGCATCCCTATTGCTTCAGGGATGTCCTGCCAATACGTCAAATTCAATAAAACAAAAAAAAACTAGTTTTATTTTCTTTAAGGATTCAAAACTTCAGAATCATCCTTGTTTTCTTCATCTTCCCGAACTACATTCAATTTGTAATTGAATGCCAAGCTCTGCTGATTTTCACTTTACAAATTCTCTTGCATTTTTACTGCTCTTGCCATGACCTCTGACATCCTGGTTTGTCAGTTGATTATTACCTAATTCCTGGACTACTACAATTGAAAACAAATCTATTTTCTTGAATCCAGTGTCTGTTTTTATAGCTGCCACTCTCAATCTTCTTAAAGCACAAGGTAAGGCCCACTTTTCTAAAAGCAGCATTTTGATCTTTTTATTTCCATAGCGAAAAAAATTGAGCTGACATTCCTTTCAGGATAATTTTGAAAAACCTTAGCTTGATGATTAAGGTCCTCCATCATCTAATGCAACCAGCAATTTTTTTCATAGCATTTTAGCAGTAGCTTTTACTAATTTAACTTACATAAGAAAAAGATAAATATAAATATACAATCAAAAAGTTCCTTCTCAGTGAGGCTACACTGATCATTATATTTCATATTGAACCCATTGCCCGTAATCCTTGGGCTTTCCTAGTCCCATTCCCTGCTTAATATTTCTCTTAAGCACTGAACACCATCAAACATACTCTATATTTCATGTATTAATTCTCTTTATATTCTATATTTACGTATTTATATTTGCCATCATCATGTTATAAATTACTTGAGGTTAAAGATTTTTGTCTTACTTTGTTTTCTGGGCCCCAAATGTTTTGTCAATGCCTTGCACATAGTAGATGCTCAGTATATTTTTGTTAAGTAAATAAATGAATGAGGAAATAGAGCATTTTTATCTAAATTATGAATTATTGTGTTGAATCTAGTGTAATGCTTTATAGAACAAAATTAAGTGGAAACAAAATTTTGTATTTAAAAAAGTCTTGATTGTTTTTGGAAATATTGTAATCCTATACACATCATGCCTCTGTGGACAATTTTCTGCATTTGGTCAATGTCCAATTTATCTAGTTCAGGTTTACAATAATCCTTGATTTCCAAGTGGTTTTTACTGATGTTGATTTGAAGAAAACTTGATGGATCAGCTTTATGGGAAATGTAATAGGATGAGAATTCGACCTGCTGAGGTTAGCTTGCAATTTATAAATGGATTCTTTATATGGGCCAGGAAAGTCTTAATATAATAAATTGGGAAGGCATTAAGTAATCAAGCCGACAGCTTATTATTTATAATGGTGCTTTGTTTTACTAAAGAACAATTGGTTAACTGAATATAAAGTTATTCATTGTTACTATATTTTTCAATTTTATCTATAATAAAGGATCAAGTTTTCATGATTGACTCCAAGTGTGAATCTGGAAAAGGACGCTGCTCTTTCAACCCCAATGTGAACACAGTATCTGTTATGATCAGTAAGTGGAAAGTGAAAGAGGGATTGGCTACATATAAAATACAAAGGAAACTAAGGACCGTAAATTGGTGACATGGCATGTCATTTTTGATAATTGCATGAATAAAATAATAGGAAGAAAATTACGTGCTGAGAAATAGAAATTTTAGTATCTCATTTCCAGGAATATTTAAGATTAAATAATAAGCATGTATTTTTTCATTTAACAACTACTATAATTCCTAGAGCAAGTCAATAATGTAGAAAAAAAATCTGTATATATATATATATATATATATATATATATATATATAAATATATATTATAATTTTCAATGTTTTCTGTAGTTATTTTTCTAGAATTAAATATACCCACTTTTTCTCATGTTTTAGTAATCATTTGCAAATGATTAAAAATGGTTTTTCTTTCAAATGAAAGAATAACAAAGTTCATGTGTTAGCCAATACATTCTCTTTGGATTGTCTAGAAGTTGCTATATTAAATAAAAAGTGATAATAAAGTCACTTTTTTATTTTCTCATTTTCCATAAAATATATCAGTTAAGAAGCAGGCCCAATTGCTTGCTGCTGTTACATTGACAAATCAATGTCTTTGAGTCCTGATCATCATATGCCTTTCTATAACTCACTTGAAAGATACTATTTTCTGGTCAATTAAGATACTTCTAGAATATGTCTGATTTAACATGAATTCACTGTCAAGACAAATCTTGGATTTCAGTGTTGACTATACAGCAGGTGCTTTTTCCTCTTTGTTTTTTCTGTGTATTGCCAGTGGTAACATTACGTCATTTGACAATAGAACATGTGGAAAAATAATTATTATGTTCAAAATGCTTTGCTTTGTTCATAAAGAGGTAACCCTTCTTTTCTGTCCCATATCTGGAAACTAAATTAAGACAGGTATATCCAGCACTGACTAAAATGGGAGCTTGGAAGTTATCCAGTGAATTATTTCCATATGGTCATTCAAATTGGGCAGGGAGGAGATAAAAGCATATCTTTAGGACAAAAAATTAGAAAGCTTTGAAACCACAAGGTATCCAAATATATCTGATGCAGGGTTTTCAGACAAGTTTCTAAATTTTACTTAATAGAAGCAGTGTCTTGGAAGTCTTTTCTTTATTAGGAAGGAAATTTTATTCACCTGTAGAAAGTTATATGTTATATATAAAAATGTATACACATTTTAAGAAAGGGGAAAACTGTATTAAAATTGTAATACTCAATAGACACCAATAACAAAAGATGAATGCAAATCACATTTGACTTCTGTAATTACAAGAAGTGCCCAAAGTGGTTACATCAGCATCCAGACATTTCTGATTATGGAGAACTAGTGCTTGAGCAACACTAACCAAAGTGTCCACTTGTATACATTTTTTGGCACCCCCGGTATATAGAGTTTTCATTTATTTCAAGTTAAATGCTATTAAAATAAACCTAAAAGATCCATTATCACTAATACTGGAGTTTTATCTCTTCAAATATTGCTTAGAACAAAAAAGAATTATAACAAGACATTATGAATCTTTCTGTTAAATTGTGATAAACCATTTAATGATTTTTCCCTCAGAGAATTAGATTTTTTATTTTTTACAAATTAAAGTTAATTATTGGCCTTCATTTTTCAAGGACCTGAGACTTCAATTCCTATGCTCATGTTCCTATACTACCTTTTAATGTTTTAATTAACATTACAATTGACACTGACAATGAAAGTCATTAAACAATTTGCTTCACTTAAAAAATGAAACCAAAAAGCAGGAAGCTTTATAAGCTTTTTTTTTATCATTTTAATTGTTCTAGTGATTATCCCTATAAAATAAACTCTCCAATATTGTCTCCAATATTGCATAGTAGATTTGTGTAGTAATTTCACTTTGGCATATAGTGCTTTATCATTTCTGTTCATCTGAAATGGCCTAAATAACACAGATTGGTTAAAATATTTCTATCCATTAAAGTGCCGTTGAGAATTAAAATTCCAAATTTCACCATGCAGTGTGGCATTTAACCCAATGTGCAAATTGAGTGTTCTTGTGCTACTTTTAGTCATTGTTGTAGCACAACAAAGAAGTCAGATTGTATCTCTTAAAGAGCTTATCAACAGCCTCATGAGGTTTTGCTGGTCAGTTCAAGTGCAACTGGAAAACTAAAGTTTTAGATTCAAGTTAATAGGCCCAACTTTATCTTTGAATAAATCCTACAAAGAAATTCTGAAAATAATATACCCTACTCTCAAATAAAATTCTTTCCAAAGTGACATTACTTAATATTTTTTATACAAAAAAAGCAGAAACTTTATTATTTCTAACTTCTTATTAACATTACTGAGAATTCAAGACAGAAAATGAGGTCAGTCACACATGTAGGATTTTGTCATTTACGACATAACTAACCAGGTCGTATGCAGTAGGATTGGAATCAGGCCTCTTCTCCGTACTCCATCCTCTGAGTGTCCTTTTCCTTCCTGGAAACAGATATGATCATTTATAGCTGTGCTAATGAATCTCTCAAATAACAGGAATTTGTAACCCACGGTTTTGGGGGTGTTTTGGTATAACAAAATTATACTGGAGTAAAATAGTTAATTACAAACTGATCTTCATTTAACAACCACTGTATCTACAGAATATTTATGTATTCATAACTGCTCACAGAATTTTTAACTTCATAACTATTCACAGAATCTTTAAGAAGCTAAACTTCTCAAAATGCTTTCATGCATATTTTCATCTCCCTATAAGACTGTTCCCATGGGCTTTAGACCTCTCCTAGGAAGCAGAACTGGGCAACACAACGCCTGCTGTTAGCCACTTGCTAACTGGTAGGGGTCCAGCTCCTTACCTGGTGAGCATGTATGAAAGACATTCCATTGTCCATTCTGCCCTCAGCCAACTGGTGTTGCTTCTTACTCAACAGTGAGCTTAGAGTGCTTCAGAATGTTCCAGTCCTGCCCAAAGGACCACAGTCTGAAGGTAGCCAGGGAGTAATTCTAGAGCATCAGTCAAAGAACACAGCTGTGTGGTGGTTCAGTGGTCCAGACCTGATTGATTTTATTCTTTTGTAAATAGGCATTTAACTACTGTTTTATACTCTAAGGTCACATATACCAATTCACTGCTTACTCTCCTTACTAGGGTAAAAGTTAATGTAGATCTTAACGAATAAGCTAAATGTTAAACATTATATAGATAGATAGATAGATAGATAGATAGATAGATAGATAGATAGATAAAAATATCTGATTCTGCCATTAATGATCATTTAATTTTAAAATATCTTGTTTCTGCACTCTGTTTTTTTTTTGTGGATTAATATGTTAAGCCATGTGTGGCTTATTAATACTATTTTATTAACATAATATTAACAGGCTATGTGTTACAATTGAAAAAGTAGCAGTTTGTTTACCTTACAGAAACCTTCTAGCACTAAAAATCAAAACATATACTTTTAATGATGAAATTATTTTATCATTAATAGCATCTCGACAATTTTAATGTTGCCTCTGTCATGAAATGATACTAAAAACTGTTATTTTTAATTTATTCACTAAAATCATAGAATTTTCAATATGTGGTGAGAAATTTTGAGATCATGATTGAATTTTCATATTTTACTAATGACAAGACAGTTTCAGAGTACTAAATGACTTAGCCTGAATTCCCAGTTTGTTAATTACTGCCTAAAGTAGAAACCGTTTTCTGACTCTTACAGTATTTTTTATTTATTAAAAAAAAGTAATAAGCCATTTTCTTATCTTTTACACATATTATTTCTGACATTTCTGATACACACTGTATAAACAAAGGTATTTAGTATAATTAGGTACAGACAGAGGATTTTTATTTCTATGTAGAATAAAGTTGTTTTGCTAATCATACAGGCAATAATGAGGCCAGATTAAACTTTATCCAAGTTTTTTTTTTGGTGGACAGTGTAAACCAATTAATAATTATAGGGGCCGACCGAGTGGCGCAGTTGGTTAAGAGTTGGCTTAAGACCGCAAACTCTGAGCAACAGGGACTGCGGTTCAATTCCCACATGGGACAGTGACGCTGGGCCCGAGCTGAGCTGTTGCTGAGCTGCCAACAGGTGGCAGGATGGCTCAGCTGGTGTAACAACAAGATTGCCTTTTTGATGGTGGGCTACACCCACCCACAACTAGGACTGAACTTGGCACCTTGAGCTGAGCTGCCTCCCGGATGGCTCAGTGGATAGAGCGTGCGCTCTTAACAAGGCTGCCGGGTTTGACACCCGCATGGAATGGTGGCTACGCCCACCTGCAACTAAGACTGAACTTGGCACCTTGAACTGAGCTGCCACCCGGATAGCTCAGTGAATAGAGCGTGTGGTCTTAACAACAAGGCTGCTGCTTCGACTCTCGCATGGGATGGTGGCTACGCCCACCCGCAATTAAGATTGTAACACAGCACCTCAAGCTTAGAGGCCATGAGCTGCCTTCGGGCAGCCAGATGGCGACTGGCGCCCTCCACAATGAAGACTGAAGAACAACAACTTGGCTGGTCCCCTTCTCCAATTCCCTAACGCTGTTCCCCTCCCCCAATTCCCCAATAAAATTAAAAACAAAAAACAATACTTATAAACACTGTAATATGTGGGATGATCTAATAAGCAGGTTCTCCTTGGTTTTTAAAATAGCCTTAAAAAACATTTACAATTGTGTTGACATTTTCTTTTTCATAGATGAGGAGCTTTTTTCTGCAATGTATATAGATTTCATGGGGACAGATGCTGCCATTTTTCGAAGTTTAACTAAGAGGAATGCAGTCAGAACTGATCAACACAATTCCAAATGGCTAAGTGGTAAGAAAACATTTTGTGCATTTTTTTTTGAGAATCATGCTTTATGTTAATTTGTTTAATTCCATAATGCAAATTAGGTTAAAATAGTTAAAAAATTACAATGCCAGGCCATGAGCTGAGTAACAGTTCTGTACTTTATGATTTTAAATATTTAAGATAAATGATTGAAACAGTCCAGCTCATATTCTTTCATTAAGCATCATGCAGTTATCATAGGATATATAAATAAATAAAAATGACAGTAGTATTCATCATGCATGCCCATATACAAGAAACTTCTCCAGTTGTTTAATTGTAACGTATTACCATTTATGCCATTTATTCATTTAGCTTGCTTGCATATTTTAACAATGCCAAATCTGATTTTTTTTCTAAACTTATGACACATATAATGAATACAGTATAGTCAGACACTTCTATTTGTTTTATACGTAGATTCTAAAATTATAAAACTGGTATACATTATTTTTTCATAGTTTGACTGATAATGGAAATCACAGATATAATAATTTTGTGATTACTGGTATTTGGCTGCTTCCAGTTCTTGGGATCACATGGACTTCACATCAGGAAAGGGGCTCATTTCACTTCAATGCACAATTCCATCCGGTTTCTGTTGTTTAGAGGAGGAAGAAACCACCAATGTCTTTGTCATTTCACCCTGTGAAAATGTCTAGCTCACCCTACATTTGGCAGTTCGCTTAACATTGCACAGTTAAGCATGAATCGCCTCAGTTAAGCATCTTATTTGACTGCTAGACTACAAGAAAGCATTGATGTCCATTTACTTCTTCAAATTATTCCTCCAGTACATCTGGAAATAGAATATCCCAAAGGTTGTTTTGTGCTTGAAATAAGGAATCCCTCTGTCTTCAAATGACTTCATTATTTTTTGCTTGAAATAGTTCCCCTTCATTTCATATGCTGTGTTTTAAGAAAAATGTGGTTTTTAGATCTTGGGCTCCCAACTCCTCAGTCTGCTTCGATGAATTTGCGTTTTTTATGCACTAGGTTGAAAACCACACTTTCCTTTCTATAAAACGGCCATCAGAGTCCCTGGGAAATAAATGGTAGAAACGTTTTTCAATTTTTTAAAACTCACCGGTGCACAAAGAGTTTTTTGCATTTACTGAACTTCCAGGATGTTTTGAAGACAGAAAAATAGTTTGAGCTTCATATTATAACTATATTTTTGTGGCACTTGACATTCCAAATGTGGTATGTAGACTGAATACACTTACTGCTTTGAGATTTTTTGCCTATGAACATCAAATTATTTTTCTATATCAAGGATGGAGAACGCATGTGCCTGTGGTCTACTTGCCTGAACAGTAGGTGGATTTTCATCATGCGTGCATGTGTATGTATATATATGTGTGTATATATGTATAGTCCTTGTATTTTTTTTCAGAACCTATGTTTGTGGATGCACACGTTATCCCAGATGGAACTGACCCAAATGATGCTAAGATTTACTTCTTCTTCAAAGAGAAACTGACTGACAATAGCAGAACCACAAAACAGATTCATTCCATGATTGCTAGAATATGTCCTGTACGTATTAATATTGTTTTTTTTTAATTCAGTTTAAACTAAAACCAAAGAAAAAGTTCACCCATTTTTTCCACCTCTAACCCTGTCTCTTCCAATCTGTTCTCTGTATCTATGAGCTGTTTTTTGTCGTTTTTGTTTTTGATCCCATATATGAGAGAGATCATACACTATCTGTCTTTCTCTGTATGACTTATTTCATTTAGCATAATGCCCTTGAGGTCCATTCATGTTGTCACAAACAACAAGATGCCATTCTTTTTATGGCTGAATAGTATTCCATTGTGTATATGTACCATATCTCTTTATCCATTCACTTGTTGATGGACACTATCTTGGCTACTGTAAATAATGTTGTAGTGAACATGACATGGGGTGCATATATCATTTCAAATTAGTGTTTTCATTTTCTTTGGATAAGTATAAGTGGAATTGCTGGATCATATGGTAGATCTATTTTTATTTTTTTTGAGGAACCTCCATATTATTTTCCATAGTGGTTGCACAAATTCAATTCACATTACCACTAACAGTGTACAAGGGTTCTCTTTACTCTACATCCTCGCTAACACTTGTTATTTCTTGTCTTTTTGATGATAGCCATTCTGACAGGTGCGAGGTGATAGCTTATTGTGGTTTTGATTTGCATTTCCCTGATGATTAGTGATGTTCTGCATATTTTCATGAACCTGTTAGCCATCTGTATGTTTTCTTTGGGAAAATGTCTTTGAGATCATCTATCCATTTTTAATCGATTTTTTTTTTGGCTGTTGAGTTGTATGAGATCTTTATGTATTTTGAATATTATCCACTTATCAGATACATGATTTACAATTATTTTTTTCCATTTAGTAGGTTACCTTTTCATTTTATTGATGGAAATAAAATGCTCTGCAGAAGCTTTTTAGTTTGATGCAGTCCCACTTGTTTGTTTTTGTTGCTTTGCTTTTAGTGTCAGATTTAAAAAATTATTACCAAGACCTACGCCAAGGAGCTTACCAGTAGCTTATCAATAGAGTCTATTTGTGAATGATCCCAATGCCATTTTCCCTACACTGGATAAGAAATATTTATATTAAAGCATCTGATTAGGAACACTGAAGAGTAAATGATAACAGACAAATGAAGGAGAAAAAATAGAACTATTGGTGACCATTTGGTGTTAAGTGTAAACCAACTCTTCTGACCACAGTAGAATCTGCAAGCTTCACTGTATACAATACTTATGTTTATATTGGATACAATGAGTTCTCAGGAAAAGGCAAATTAAATTATGGATTTCCCATAATGTTTTATGATTATTTATACCATATATTGTTAAATTTATAAAGCTTTAGGACATATATTCATTGAATTCATTTTTGAAACATTTTCAGTTAATACCATCCTGTAGAAGGCTAGTAGTGTAACCTATGGCTATTTTGTAATATAAAATATTGTAAATATTCCTCTAAATATTGATATCCAAATGGGATTAACATCTCGATCCTTAAGATTATAACAAATCCCCCAATACGAATCCAAGTTGAGTTGTTAATAGACTTCAATATTTATGTAAACAATCTGAAATGTGTTTACAAATGGTTTCAGAATGACACGGGCGGACTGCGTAGCCTTGTCAACAAGTGGACCACCTTCTTGAAAGCACGGCTGGTGTGCTCGGTCACTGATGAAGATGGCCCAGAAACACACTTCGATGAATTAGGTACATGGATGTGAATTTGAAAAATGTTTTTGAAAGAGAGTTTGTAAAGTTTAAAAAATTTAAGACACTCTCATTAGAGGATGTATTTTACATGGATGTTTTCAGCATAAACAATGTGCCAATTTGAATTAATAATCTGGATACTGTTAATAAATTTCCTTAAGTATTTCTTAAATGTTTTGCCACTGAATGCACTGCTGAAACATTTAGTTCATTGAAGTCACCATGATGTGTGAATGAAAATATGTGTGTGTATGTGTTTGTGTACGTGAGAGAGAAAAGTACTTGTATACTTTATATATAAGTAATGATGTTTGTGCTTTTCTAAAATGGATATGTATTTCATATATATATATATATATATATATATGTATATATATATATATATATATATATTTAAATGTTAATATTCTGTCTGTAAATCCGTTTGAGAATACAGCTATATGTTTTTACTATTGCAGTTAATGGACAGAATAGAGGTTAGATGAAAAAGTGTTAGAGTAGGAGTTAAACTTGTGCTCCATCCTTAGTTCTTTCTGGTGACTCTGGGACTAAATATTCTCAGCATGTGTGACATGAGGAAAGTTATACTTTCCAGATCAAATAAGGACTAACAATATGATTCCTTTCTACCAAGAAACAGCTTTCTTTTTAATCAGAATAACTTGGTACTCATTATAGTATGCTAAGTGCCATTTAGAAATGACTTTTATTTTGCTTTAATTCATTAAAATGTAAAATGCTGGTTATTCTCAGATTGGGAGACAGGTGAGGGGGTAAGCAATAAAAATGTATTATATGTGGAAAAATTTACTGATTCTAACAATTATATAAACTGAAATAAATAGTTGGTCTTCTCAAAAGCCATTATGTTGATCATAACAACAAAAATTTCTATGTCAGATTTTCTAGATAGAAGTACTAAGTATGATTTTCTGTTCTAACTTAATCACTCACTATTTCCCCCCATATTCTTTGCAACTAAACATATGTTTATGTTTCAGTGACTTACGGTATTTCAGTCTTTCTTGTTTTTTAGAGAAAGCTAGATGTATCAGCCTTCGTTAACATAAGAAAAAGCTAGTGGTTATTAATTTATTACTTAAGAGGTCCTAAATTCATTGTGAGTTTAAAATAAATACCTTGCTTTTTGGATTTCTTAGCAAAAATCTCATTTGCAACTATGTCGCTAAAAACAGACATTTCTTGTAATTATGACAATTGATTATTAATTGGGGTTTTCTATCAGAAATTTACTGCCGGGTTCTGTTATTTATTACTGTACCTTATTATCTATACCATTGTTTTTGCTCTAGTGTACTTTAAACTTCTTGTAGTTAGAGGAATTATTTATTAAGTAAAAATATCATTTGGAACTTTGACCATAAGCCAAATAAGTCCTATTATGCATAAAGAATAAAAGTCACTGTGAAAAAGTTTCTTCCATGATTCAACTTCTAACCCTAGGTCAAACAGAAATTGAGATTTGTAACAGGTTTTAAATTTTATATATATATATATATATATATATATATATATATATATGTTATCATAAAAGGATATTTAGAAAATGCAGAAAAAGAGAAGAAACAGGAAAATTTCTATAGCTCTGCTAACCAGAGACACTCATTAGTAATCTTATTGTATTCTGGTATATAGTTTAAGGTTTACATGGTTTTAGTCTATATTATATACCATTGTGCCTTTTCCATTCAATATTATTTCAATAACATGGTTTCTATAGGTTACAGTCTTCATAAATCCCTTTAGCGTTTGTATAACATTTTATTTAATTTACATTACCATGCACCTATCATTTAGTTCAATAGTGGTTTTCAAATTATAATGATGCATCAAGTATATCTTTTTGAATAGTACTTTTCATACTTGAAATTATTTTCTTAGGGTAAATTTTTTTAAATACGGTTAATATTTGGGACTTTTAAAAGAATGATTTTTCCCTTTTTAGAGGATGTGTTTCTGCTTGAAACGGATAACCCAAGGACAACACTAGTGTATGGCATTTTTACAACATCAAGGTAATTATTAATTACATTTTACAGGTTAAACAATAAACTTTATTGAGCAATAGTAATTATTACAAAAGCATTCTTTTCAATTTTTAATTTTACATAGCAATTAGGTTGTAACTTTCCCATTTTATTACTTTTGCTTGATTACCAAAATATATTTAAGCTGAACTAACACTTTCGACATAGTTCTGTATAGAGTATTTATAATGATTATATGATATTCTTCTCAAAAGAAGAAAAATATGAATTATAATGCAGGAACAAAGTACACATGAGTGTCAGATATTTTGTTTAGGAAATAATTTGAAAACTCCTGATTCAAATAAAAATTTTGGAATTTCTATTAAAATAACTTTTACTTCTGGAGCAGTGATTAGAAACTAGCAAAACACTGAATTTGTTTTCATCTTCCATATGACAGTATTTCATATATCTGAAGATGGGTTTAATGTTTTCTAATATCTCTAGAATTCCCAATTCCAATTATCATATATTTCAAGAAAATTCACCGTATTTCACCCTTTCTGCACATGTGTTTTCTTTTACACTGGGAATGTTACTCAGAAATCAGTGCAGTGTTCCAGCTATAAAATGACCAATGCGGAATGTAGTGGGTCCCTTCCATTAGACAATCAACTACAAAATGAAAATTTAAAGATACTAGCATTCTTGCTAGTGGGGGGAAACATGGTATGATTGTAAACTGTAATGAGCCATTCAATGAAAAAAAAATCACAGGGATATTGTTTATAAATCATTTTTACATTTGTACTGTAAGATATCTAAAAACATGTCCTTCAGGATAAGTTTAACTTCTGTTCTGACAAAGACGATAGTCTTGATTTAACTCAAAAAGATTTAACAAAGAAAAAAGAATCAAATTATTAAGAAAAATACATTTGTTTCAAAAAAAATTTTCCTGCTTTGTGTGTATCCCAACTGCATTTGTTTAACATTGAAAAATTTTAAATGGTCATTTCTGACTATTAGTGATAATGATTAATAATATAGCTTGTTTATTTTTTCCCCAGTGGTCATCTAAGTTTTCCATTGGCCATCTAAGTTTTCAATATGCATCTAATTTAAGAGAAATACGTGAGTCAGATAAATGTTGGTTTCAGTCAGTCTGCCTTAGTGACATTGGAAATGGTTTTCAGTAAGGATCAAAACAAATTTTATAAGATTTTACTGACTAAAGGTAATTTGAAGGAATCTGTTTTGGAGGCTATTGTTTTTTTCTGTGAATAACAGGGAAACTACCAGGTATGATCAAACAGTATGGTGAGAGTTTAAATTAAAAAAAAATTATTACAGTAAAAGACACATTGCCTCAAAATATTCCCTCTCCCTTCGAACACACTATCCCATTGTTGTTGTCACTTTCTGAAGCAGTTCTGGAAGTCCTCTTTTGTGAGTGTCTTTAGTTGTGCTGTTGTGGCTGCCTCAATGTCCTGAATTGATTCAAAATGTTTTCCTTTCATGGTCATTTTGACTTTGGGGAAGAGCCAGAAGTCGCATGATGCCAGATCCGGTGAATAAAGTAGATGAGGACACACCGTAATGTTTTTATTTGACAGAAATTGCCATATACCAGAAGCAATGTGTGGCACAGAGCCTTTCCTGTTGTGATAAAAATAAAATGCAGTGAATGCTGCTGCTGAGTGCCATCCAATGGAAAGGCAGGGATCTTCAATACAGGGAGAGTGGCCTTGAACCTTAGTAACAGTGTATGACAATTTTACACTTGTTTGGTGCACTCAGTTGGGTATGAGCTACGATTGAGAGAAGGCGTGTTTTAAAGTGTGC